TCCAAAGAGAACCCTAACAGACAGGAGAGCAACTTACAGTCATCCCCTTGCCATTAGGAGTAAGTAGTGAAGTGGCCAAGTTTGCACCTGATACTACACTTTTTAGGGTGGTTAAAACCAAAAGGGGTTGTGAGGACTCCAAGGGATCTCTCAAAGCTGGGAAACTGGGCATCAAGATGGTGATTGCAGTTCACTATAAGTAAATGTAAAGTAATGCATATTGGGGCAAAAAAATCCCAACTTCAAGTATACACTGATGGGATCTGGACTAGTGGTAACTGAGTAAGGAAGGGATCTTGGGGTGGTGGCAGACAGAGTGATGAAATTGTCGGCCCAGCACACAGCTGTTGTGAGGAAGGCAAATTCCATGCTAGGCATAATTAGGAATGAAATAGAAAATGCAGCTGCCATAATCTTACTTCCCTTATACAAACCTTTGGTGTGACTATACTTGGAATATTGTGTTCAGTTCTGGTTGCCTTATCTGAAAAGGGGCAATGAGTTGAAAAAAGTACAGAGAAGGGCAACAGAAATGATCAGGGGACTCAAGCAGCTCTCCTGTGAGGAGTAGCTACAACAACTGGGACCATGACAGAAGTGTTTAAAATAATGTGTGGTATGGAGCAAGTAAAGGAGGAGACTTTTTTTTCCCTCTCCCACTGAATCCAGGGTCATCCCATGAAGCTGATTGGTGGGAGGTTCAGGACAGATGAAAGGAAGCATATATGCACATAGTGTATGGTTAAACTATGGAATTTGCTGCCATGGGAAGTGGTGATGACCTCCAATCTGAAGGTCTTTAGAAAGGGGTTGAAGAAATTCATGGAGGAGGAGGCTATTGGTGGCTCCTAGCCTTGCTGGCTATGTGCTACCTCTGTCAGAGCTGGCTTGTCTGCATACAGTTGTTGCGAAGGAGCTTGAACAGGAGGAGGTCTTGCTCCCATCCTGCATGAGGGATCCTGTGGGCAGCCGATTTGTCCCCACGTGTACAGAGCGCTGGACTAGATGGCCCTTTGGTCTGATCCAGCAGGGCTTTTCCTATGTTTTATGTCCACATGCTGTTCATCAGCCCAGAACATACCTGCTTTGTAACATCTTTATAATACCTGAAAGAAGTGGAAGCTGTGTCTGGGACGTTTACTGCCTTTTATTAGATATACAGCTCAGCCTGAGGGTCTGAGGGTCTAGTTTTCTACAAACTAATTGTCCATCGTTAAGAAAGACCAATGTTCAGCTTTCCCCCCTCTTCTGTAAACAACAAATTGTTTGATTTTTCCTGGTCTCTGCCATCAATGAACCCCTTTGGATGATTTGGTACATCAGAAACTGTATTGTGTATTATACACTGAAGCAAAGCTCCTACTGATGTTACTAAAAGCTTTGCTAAGTAATGAGTCCAGGGTCAAGTCTATGATCTTTGAAATCCTTTTAAACAGATGCTGTACTCGACATAGTATTTCTGTCTAATAAAAGTATCCACTTTTGCCTTTGCACTTTACCTTTATTGGAAATGTATATTACCAACTTGAAAGTATCGTGATTATCACAAGAGTCAGGTTTTTGGCATCTTACTGGTTTCTGGCCAACAGCTGAGGTATTTGAAGCCAAATGACTGATCTCCCAGAACGAGTGGCTTGCATTCATTAACTGGCCCTTATCTTCTGCAGAACAGCTGTTCCTAACATATCATCTTACCGTAAGGGAATTGTGTGGCCCTAATGGGTTTTGTGGCCACAGGTGGACATGTTGAGTGAGTACATTTCAGGTGATACATTCCTCTCTCGAGATATGAAGTATGCAAGGTGACATTCAAGGAATTAGCCTTTGGATCAGGACCCTCACAAGAGGAAGACAGGAGGGCTTCAGCCCTTTGCCTCCAGCTGAAGGCCCAATCCGGGTCATAAGCCCAATGTGGACCTTCTCAGGGGCTACTCTTCGGCTGCAGATCTCCTTCCTCTCTGTGCCAGCAGGCATGTAAGCTGGTCTGCTATTGGAGGAGTTATTAAATGGGTCAGTGCTTTTAATTAAGATTTTGTTTTTAATCCAGATTTTAATGTCAGCCTTTTTTGTGTGCTGTTCTTCAACAGAAAGGCAGGATCTTACACATGTATGAGTGTTTGTGGAGGGAGGGCTCATTTCCACCAATGGAAGATTCCCTAGCAGGTACTGCATTCCAGATTGAATTTCCAGCCCATGCTAAGGGGCAAAGAATAACCCCCACCTGTACTTCTGCTAGAGTCTTAATCTATATCAGTCCTCCAATCGCTATATACTTTTTAAAAATGTCCATGCAAAGGGAATTTTATTGATCGAGTACACAAAAAAAGGGTGAAACCATAAATGCAGCATCTTATGCAACCACTCTGCGTAATTTAAGAGAAGCAATTAAAGAAAAAAGGTGGGGAAAACTGACCACAGGTGTGTTGCTTCTTCATGACAACGCATCCGTTCACACAGCGCATGTTTTGAAGGCTGCTGTGCGAGACTGTGGTTTCGAAGAAATAAACCACCCACCCTACAGCCCGGCCCTGGCCCCCAGTGCCTACTACCTATTCCCGAATTTAAAAAGAGATCTTTGTGGAAAGTGATTTTCTGACGATGAAGAACTCAAGGCGGCAGTTAACACACATTTTTTAGACTAGGAGGAAGGGTATTTTTACAGGGAACTGAAAAGTTAATTTCTAGCTGTGATAAGTGTATTGAAGTTATGGGGGATTACATTGAAAAATAAAAACTATTTCAATTTATTATTCCTTTTTCTTCAAGCTGATACCAAGAATACATTGAACGCCCCTCGTAGTTGCACCTTAGAAATATGTATTAGAGCTTAATATTGCTTTTATTTGAAATATATTTTACACTCATATTTTAAAGCAGTGTTTATTTCTAAGTCACTCTGTTAAACGTTGCAGAAAAGCAGGGTAACAGTTCCCCAAGCACACACACATCATATTCAGAAAGGCTACGTAACCCAGCAGCCTGGGATTTAACAACTTCAGAGTTAACAAAAGCATCAAAGAATACTTGTGAGTGATTGACCGGCAGAAGAAGGATAGGGCTCTTCATTGCTCCTTTGCTAGCCAACAGTGTTTCCATGCTAGCCACACAGGAATGGAGTATAGCAATCCCACAACCAGCACAGAAACACAGTGAGCTGGGGGAGAGATGGATCATTCAAGTCTTCCATTACTATTCTCCTGCATTTCTTTGTTTGGCTGTGGAGGGAAGCAGTCCATTCCTTCTCTGACAGTCTGTTCTGCTGGTTACGGAGAGAAGAAAAACCCTTCTTCCGTGGCTACCATGTGAACGTAAGGGTTAAATACATTGTTTTGGTAATGGCTGTCTGCTAATGAAGCAGGACCTTCTCCCTTCCTCCCCAAAATGTTCTCTGCAGAGTTTCTCAGATTTTCTGTGTGTGAGAGGAGTTGTACTGGGAGTGGGAATTGTCTTGTTCCTAGTTCCATTGACAGAACTGCTTCTACTGAAAGAATGACAGTGTTGGATGCAACCCTTGCTGCATTCCACATCCACCAGACCACTTGGCAGAGGCACTTTTTAAAAACTCACCTGGTTACTTGTGTCTTCACAGGCTAGTAAGAAAAAGGCTAATACAGTCTCGTAACCTGTGTGTGCTTGTGTTCAAGATGGGTACAGCTGTCCTGAATTAAAAATGCTTGAGGATGCAGGTAGTGATACTGTATGCTTGAATGCTGCCTCATTCAAAGAAGAAGAAATGCTCTACAACATGCAAACATGTGACAACATAAGTATATGGAAAATGAGAATGTCTGAAGCTATTCCGTCTTTTTGACATGCAATCTTTTGGCATGTCGAGAGATTATTAGGTGGGGGAGCATCAACCATGCACATTCTGGGCCAGCAATTTCCAAGATGGACTTACAAATGAAATTGCTAAACACCTCTTACACTTTACCATAATTTCTTTCCAGCCTGTGATGACCAGCAGAGACATTTATGTTAACAGAGTGGCATTAGTTTTTAATTCATATTCACTATATTTCCTATGTCTGGTAATCTGAGCAAACATTGAGAAGTTGGAATAGAAATAGGAAAGTATAGTGAGTATACTTGATTGGGACCCTCAGTATATTTTGAGATTTTATCCAGTAGTTCACTAGGTTGGCAAATCAATGCTGATAAGCTATTGTCATGCTAGATCATCACCAGCCTAAAGCAACATCTCAGAAGTAGCCTTAAATATAGACAAGCAACAGGTGCTCTTAATCATACATGGGTATATTTTCTGAAAATTTCTTTGACTGAGTCATCTAATTTTGTGCACTAAGTCATTGACATGTGGGCGCAACGCATTTTGTAAGGTTTACTTTACTGTCATTTCATCCCATCTAAAGTTTTTTTCTGAGCTAATGAAAATACCTTTAAATTCTGACCCTTTTCAAGTTGTGTCCATTATTTCAGTTACCATGATGTTCAACCTCTTATTTTGTTTAACCTAGTTTTAATCTCACACTCATTAAAAGTTTTTATATAACATTTTGAAGGATTGTTGCTGTTTACTGTACCTTTAAAAAAATCTAAAATATTGTTGTGATTGTGTTTATTTACTTGATAATTTCTGCATATGTCAGTTCTCTTAAATAATTTCTTCTGCTAGTTATATGTCATATCCTTAGGTTAGTTTTACCTAAATTACAGGTCCTCCTGTGTAACTGATCTGCTGGTTAAACATGCTCCTATGTACAACTCAGAAAGCTTTTTCACAGAAACTTACACAACTTTAAACAAATTTCCGTTTTTCTGTGACATTTAGAATGTTCCAGTCAGACCCTGATGCAGCATAGGTGTATAAAGTCATTGTTAGCACTTTTAACTTTTCACAGGTATAAATTGCTATTTGGCACTTAAAGGGAGTGGAAAATTAAATCCCCTTTTCCTATTTCCAGCCTCTGTAATAAGTCTGTTTACCAGAACATTTCTGTAACAGCAGCAATGACAATAATAGTTTTGTTTTTGTTTAGAACTGGAAACAAGACGGTTGAAGAAACCAAGTACAGATATAGTATTGGTGTTTGTCCTCATAACTGGAGTTATTGTTTGCGTTGGCGTGATCTTTGCAATAATCTTCATCATTCTTAATTGGTAGGTTGATAAACCTAAGTGTAAATTGTATCAGGTCAGCTACACCCCATCCTCAGAAGTTCAGTTTAATCAGGGCATGGAATGGGATGATGTGTAAACTCCAGAAAGTATCTGTAGTATGTTCAAGTACAAACAGGGATCCATGGCAGGAAATCTTGTTCAGACATGCTTCACTGGTACTAAAGGAGAGAACAGGATTTCTAACAGTGCTAGACATTTCATTTGAGATTAAAAGTCAAAATGACATACCCCCATATGCATATGCATTGTTTGATTGATGGCATAATTAGTTAATTCTAGAAAGAGGTTGCCTTTCCAGAATTTGTCTCTGAAGGCAACTTTTTCACATAGCCTCCTTTCAAATGCATCTAGAGCTTGTTTAACTGGTAAAGGACAATGCAGAGGCTTACCTACAGAGAGCCAAATGGCATTACAAAGCAAGTGGACCTTAAGAAGAGTGTTTGTGGAAGAGAGGAATTAGCTTGACAGGTCTGGGAGTTATGCAGGGGGAAACTGTTCCATGCACAAAAGACAGCATGGCAAAATGCACAGTGAAAGGAATTAAGGAAGTTCAGGCTTGTGAGGAATTGCATTCGTGACAAATAAGATAAGAAAACTTAAAGGAGAGAGCATTAAGCCAAGAGTTCAAATGACAGTAGTAGATTGGGCATCATTGAAGAATGACAGAAAAACATTGCTTTTATTTTAATGAATGAATGGCTATATTTATATGGTTTGGGAAAGAAATTTGTTTTTGGGAAGTGCCATGGCTTAGCAGTAGAGGATTCGCTTTGCATGAGAAGGTTCCTATCTCTGGGTAAAACTTGGAAAGCTCCTGCCTGAAACACTGGAGGATTAGTGCTAGTCAGCGTAGATTGACCAATGATCTCATTCATTTGGAGTAGCTTCTTCACCATAAAGATGATTTGAAAGATGGTTGAAAGATGGTTTGAAAGTGGCCATGCTATTCATGGTATATACACTCATCCCCCTTCCTAAGGTCTGATGATAAATCCTTTTTGATCAGAACTCCATTTATCCCATGGAGTTCCGCAGGGCTCAGTTTTATCCTCCATGCTATTTAACATCTGCATGAAACTACTGGGAGAGGTTATCCAGAGGTGATGCTGATGACACCCAGCTCTACCTCTCTTTTACATCTAGTCCAGGTGAGGCAATGGATATTATGAATCAAGGTCTGGGCTTGGTAATGGATTGGTTGAGGGCCAGTAAACTGAAGCCTAATCCAGATAAGATACTGTTGCTGGAGGGATCTTCTGTCCAGATGGGTGACATTGTACCTGTCCTGGGTTGCACTCTCCTTATAGGACAGGTTTGGGGGTGCTTGTGGACCCTTAGTTATCACTAGAATTTCAGGTGGATTTGGTGGCCTGAAACACCCTTTATCAGCTTAGGCTGATTTACTAACTGCAACCCTATCTGGACAGACAGAATGTAGCACAGTAATCCACGCTCTGGTAACCTCATGTTTGCATCATTGTAAAACTCTCTATGTAGGGCTGCCTTTGAAGATGGTTTGGGAACTTCAGTTGGTCCAGTATAGGGCAGAGAGTCTGCTGATGGGGACTGTCCAATACAAACATAAAACGCCAGTCCCCTATCAATTTCACTGGCTTCCAATTGAAATCCAAGCCCAATTCAAAGTGTTAACATTAAGATTTAAAGCCCTGAATGGCTTGGGGCCAGGAGCATCTTTTCCCATATGTGCCTACCCAGACCCTAAGATCATCACCTGAGGTTCTTCTTAGAGTGCCCCCTCTGAGGGAAACAAAGGGTGGCTGTGAGAAGAAGGGCCTTTTTGATAGTTGCACCCTGATCCTGGAACCAGCTCCCCAAAGAGGTTCACCTGGTACCCTCTTTATACTCTTTTCAGTGCCTGACAAAGACCTATTACTTCTGATTGTTGTAGTTTACATGATTAATTTACTATTATTCATTGTGTATGTTTTTGTTACTATTATATTTTGTAACCTTCCCAGAGAGTCATCTGGGCTAATGGGTGGGATAGAAATTTATTAAATCAAAAATGTGGTTAAATTTGCCTTATTATTTACTTGTTACTTTTCTTGTAGGGCTGCTGTAAAACTATTCTGGCAAACCAAAGTTTGGCGAACTAAAGATGAGTCAAGTTCAATGAGAACCTCATCAGGGCCGGTACCCACAGTAGAAACATCTCAGTTCTCACAATTAGAAAGCGCAGTGCAGGAGCAGGTGTCCTACAATGAATGGAATGCACCACCAGAAGCAGAAGGCGAATAGAGACATCATTACAAAATAAAGATTATTTTTAAAGAGAAACTGTAATAAAATACATTCAAAATATTAAAAGTTCCAGTTCTGGGAAGTGCTTTGTGCTGCTTGGTGAACTTTGTTTGGGAACACTGAATCATTGCATCACCCAGATTTCAAGTTTTATTCCTGCTCTCAAAACTACTGTGGTTCACCAGGGGCTTCTGCCTCTCTGTTTTTGAAAACCAGATGTTCTAATAAGGTGATAGCAAACTCTCACAATAAATACATCAGCACTCCAGTTCTCAACCTTACGCTGGCATATCTTTATGTGATGTATTTGATGAGATTGTGATGGTCAAGTTCAGAATGTAAGACAGCCAAAAAAAGTTTGTCCTGGTGCATATTCATACAGGCTACAAACCAACATTTACCCTCTCAAGATCATTCTAATCAAGGGATCTAAGAGCATTTAACTTTGCATTGCTGTGTAGCATTGATGTTTAACAGGTCTTTTATGGAGTTCATCAGCTGTGTACTGATACTCATGTTATCCACCTTCTTCACCCAGAGCCAAAATGATGTATCCTTGGGATAGCCTTCCACCTGGCCCACCTATAGTTGATAAGACAAGCCATGGAGAACAAAGAATTCATCTTTAAATTGTAGCTAAAATTACATGTGCAAATTTGTACTTAAAAATAAATTGATCTATAGACTCAATTTTCTGTAGTGAACAATCCTATGTTCCTGGAAGAAATAGAATTCCTTGGTGTCCCTCCTCTGAGGTCAAAGACACTACTCTGGCATCAGAAGTGGAGCTTTCATGGCTGCATTTTGATTTTGGTTGGAAAATAAATGGCAAAGTAGTTGCTTTAATTAATATGTATGGACCAATAATGACTGTTCAGGTGTGTTTCATGAATATTTTAGCAAGCTATTGAAATTAAATTGTTATTTGTGCGTGGGTGGTGTTAATGAGATTTTAGCTGATAGAAATACACCTGCCCCTAAGAAGGAAACAGTGGTGAGATTTACACATACATTGTTTAATTTGGTTTGGCTGGTGCTTGGATTCTGCATCCTTATGAAAAGACAACACATTTATTTCCTCTGTTCATCATAATTACTTTTGATCAGATTAGTTTAATGTTTCTGCATCATTGCTATGCTATAAATGTTTGGTTGTAAGACTGAAAATGTTGATACTTTCAGATTATGCTGCAGTCTGTCTGGTGGTGCTTCAATATTTCTCTTCTTGTTGGGAAAGTTAAAAATCAAATTTCAGATTAGTTAAGTAATTTAAAATTAATAAGGATGTAGTTGACTCCTGTGCCACTGAATGGGAAGTGAATAAATAGGACTGAATTACTTACACCTTCTATTAAAAACAAAAAATTAGAAATGCAACAAATATGCAGGTGAAAAGTTGACTTTCTTGTAGCTTGCCATTTCTCCAGCAACACAACCTTACCAGGAGCTACAGAACATTAAATATGAGTTGTATAATATTCTTTCACAGCTGGTGGCATTTGCTTTACCCTGTCAGCAAGTAGGTATATTGAAAAAATGGTGAGCATCCTAGTACACATTCTGTTCTTAAACAGCAAAAACATAAAATGATATTTTTGCAGTTAAAGATGAGAGCAGTATGATATATAGTTCTTCCAAAGGTATAAACTCATGATTTTTACAGTTATGTGCTGATTTGTATAGTGCGGGAATGGAAATATCAGAGCAAGATATAATTTTTTTTCTCAGCTTAATTTTCCAAAGGTAGATAACTCACAGTGGCAGTTTCTTTTGGCTCCCCTTTATATTGTGGAAGTATGAAAACAGTTTGAATCTAAATATTGGGAAATCATCTGGTCTAGACTGATTCCCAATCATAAAATATTTTCAGCTTTTTGGTTTCAAAGCTTTACCATGTTCATAATTATATTTGAATTGTGCTCTCATTCATGATCATTAGCTAATGTGTATATCACAATGATCGCTAAGCCTGACAAGGATCAAACTTACTGTCCTAGCAACATATTTTGTCAATTAACTTAGACATCATAGTATTAGTTGCAACTTTGACTGAAAGATTGCAATGAATTATGACAATGTTTGATCAACCCACTGGGGTAGGGTTTATTAAAAACAGGGATCTACTAATCTTAGATCCATTGAGCTGATTGCTCTAAATACTAGTAGAACAGGCCCATTTTGTGTTTCTTTGGTTGATGAAAAGACCTTAAACAAAATTCATTGGAAATTTATCTTCGGTACATTGATGAATTTTGTCTTATAGAATTTTTTAAAATATTTATTCCATATTCAACTTCATCAGCTAGAGCAAGACTCTTTTCTTGGATTATTTTATTCTTGGGAGAGGAAGCAAACAGGTATGTCCACTTTCTCTATTGAAGTTTGATTTATGTTTGAAACTCCTGAAGTGTGGTCCTGGACAGAATACTATTCAAGGGTTTGTGTATAATCCATTAGAAATCAACATTATTCCTTAAACTATCCTTTACTGTATATTTTGAAACTCCAGTCATTAATCCCTTGTCTGGACATTCAATTAACTAGTCAAAGTCTGAACTGATACTAATTCACAGTGCATTAGTCCATGCATGACTTTTTACAGAAACTGCATTTTTATGTGCTTCTATATACTAATAAGTATACGTTTGAGGCACACCCATAATTGTTTTATTTATGTCTTGTATGAACACTGGTGGGAGTAGTTGAAATGTATATTTAAAAAAAACCCAATTTTTAAAAATCTCTTGGTTGCGAAACTCAGACATCTGGACCTGTCTCCTAAGCCTCCTCAGACACCCCACAGCTACTGTCAGAGCAACAGCCTGCTTTCTGGCATTGCAAATGCAGCCTTGAATGATCTTGTGGAAGTCATAAAAGGGATGTTCCAGTGGAGGGGAGAGGAGCATCCTATGGCCTTCCCAGCTGTGCCCCCGCCAGTGCACCTGTACTCAGGCCTGTTAAGGGAGGGGGGAATTGGACTGAGGTGAAAAATCACCTGTGTTGCTCCTCCCACCCTGCTGGCAGCAACCCAACAAGACACTGGACACTTTATTTATTTATTTAAAGATTTTATATGCCATCCCAATACTAAAAGTCTCTGGATGGCTTACAAAAAACAAAACTTTAAAGCCTCCAAGATCGGAGGTGTCCATCTCAAAGTACAACCCATGCATTGTATGCTTAGTTTCCTTCCGTAACAGCCCATTTGTTATAGATCAGATTGAGATCCAATTTGAATTTATGGCTCCAAAAGGGTGTGCATGCGCCCTTAAATACAACCTCAATCCTGAGTAAATCACAGTACCTAAAAGACAGTGTTAAATATGCTGCTAAAGTAGAGGCTATTGGAGTTTAGAGGGGCTGTGTTGGAAATTTTATTGAAGATTTTATGCCAAATAAACTTCAGTATAGATGGAATTGGCTCTTGATAACTAGAAAGCTCATCATAAAACATTTGCTCTTATTGAAAAAGAAAGAAGGCATTTATCAGCATATTGATGGAAGCAACTTCATCTGTTTTCTGTTCAGAATAAGGTCAGATATTGGTGCAGATGTTCCAGTTTCTCTCCCTGTGTCTCTTTAAAAGAACCTATCAACCTTTTCTATAATTGTACTTTATTTCCTTTCTAAACAAGAAAATGAATGCTAAACATTATTGCACAAAAACTCTGCATTTTAAACTCTGCTTACCTAATCAACCTTTGGCTGCCAAATAAAAGGATGTTACTGTTTGTATTACTGAAATGACAATGTTTTATTATTGCGTGTAGTAAATGAATGAAAACATCTTAAAATCTAAAGGGAAATATAAATAGGAAAAGAACTGCCTGCTTGCCTGAGAAATTAGATTATAAACATTTTGCTCTTGTCCAGGCCAAAGACTATTATTCCATTTGATGTTTAATGTCAGTAAAATATTCTTTCAGCAAGTTGTGGCTGAAAGAGACTCTGCAGTACAAATAATTAAAGTGACAGATATGCCAACCACAAATCCAATTTATACAGCTTTCCAGATATTAGTACTCTAGTAAACTTTGTGTTTATAAGCATTGGCAAAAACACAAAAGGCAATGATAGCTTTTAAAAGGAAAGCTGGGCCTGGCTGGGCCTGATTACCGATACCAGCATTTTCTCTTCCTTGTGCTTTTCTATCTCTCTCTCTTTTTAAAAAATAACTATGCTAGAAGAGTTAAAACAGTCTGGAAAGGAAACAGTTAAGGAACAGCAAACAGTTCAAAAGTGCACAATGTGCCTTAGGTTCTTGTGGGCAAATCCAACAGAATTTGCCCACAAGAATTTATATATCTCTGTATACAAAAGATTATAGACTACTTGACAGAAATCCACATTAGAAGATGAATCCATCTGTGCTGTAAGAAAGTATGTGCAATGTGAAGTACAACAAGTTTTATTTGGGGGGAGGTATTTTTGTGCCCAAAATACTTTTATAACCCAACTGAGTCTATAAATGCAACACATGTCTATGGATAGAGTAGGAACCAGTGAGTTTTCTAGCCTGCCCAGGACTTCTTAAATGACAGCAAAAAGGTCTTAAATTGTATTTATAGTGCAACACCCATTCAAATCAGCCTTCCTCAGCCTGATGCCCTTGGCTGAGAATGTTAGGAGTTGTAGCCCAACACATCTGAAGGGCCCCAGTTTGTGGAAGGCTGATTTGAAGAGTGCGAGTTTAGTTTTAGAATGGCCTCAGCTGTTTCCTTTCTATGGAAAACTGTACATGCTTTGAAACTGGCCATGGCCACTGGGATGACCCTTTTGTGACTGAGCATGCCTCCTCATGCTGCACTTTTGTGATAAAGTCACAGATGCAGGGCTCTGATCTAGATTGGGACTGCAGCTTGTGGAAATACTTAAAGTTAGGCATGACTAACTTAAGCCCCATTTATTTTAGTAGTCCTACTCTAAATATGACAAATGTTTAGCTCCAGCCCTTGCATGTAGAATAAGAAAATAAGGCACACGGGAGGATTGAATGT